ACAGACAACTCTTATCTGTGACAGGCATCTATGCCAGTCACATCTTGTCAGGGGAATGCTTCAGCGTTAGGGTGTAGTTAATTGTTCATGAAGATTAGATTTTAGTCCCCGGCTAACTCTTAGTAACACCATTACTGTTTCTTAAATTACTGTTTGGCTATAACTAGGGGTTAGCAAACCTATAGCCGACAGGTCACTGTGGCCCATCATCTGATTTTGTAAGTGAAGTCTCATTGGAACACAGCTATGCTTATTTGTTTACAAATTGTCTCTGGCTACTTTCATGTGACATCACTGAGTAGTTGCGACACAGGTGGTATTTAGCCTGCAAAGCCTAAAATATTTACTACCTGTCCCTTTACAGAGAAAGTTTCCTGGCCCCTGCTCTAGATCATCTCAGGTCACTGATTCTGGTTAGTTCTATTTGGTGGTATGTGTTAGCTATTGTTACAAGCTCTCTCTGCGTTTAAAGTTCTGTTTGGGGGATGTCCTGGTGTTAACACCTCGGAGCCCAGTGTGCACTTTGTTTTTCTACCAGCCAACTCTCAGGATTTCCTAAGAGTTTAATACCTACAACTTCTCAGGTCAAGCTGTTTACATGGATTGATATCTTTCTGTTTCAGCACGATACATGTCCTATATGTAGGAAGAGCTTAAATGGTGAGGACTCTACTTGGCAAACCCACAACTCTGAGGCCTCTGCAAGCAACAGATTTAGCAGTGACAACCAGCTACATGACCGATGGACTTTCTGAATCTAAAGACCACGTCTGAGCCAGGGCTGTGGTAGTCTTCTTACCATAGCTGTGAATTGTATCAAAACAAAATAGTCGGTGGAGTTAGGAATCGTGTAAGAAACCCCAACCCATAATATTAATGCAGAGTGTTTTCTTTAAATTTAAAGTTAGCATCTATAGATGGAATTGTATCTAAAACCAAATGCCTCATTGCTGAATTCAGAGTGATAATTTTATAAGTGTGAAACTTAATTATGTGGGTTCCCCCTGCCAGAATAGAATTAGTTCCTTAAAGTCTAGCTAGGGTCCTGCTATCTGCCAGGTTGCCCTTTAATAGATGTTTTCACCCCCTTGTCCAGCCTCCATCCTATCATTAGTGTATTTTATGGTAAATACAGTGGAACCAGAGCCCAAAAGTCCTACTGATACAAAAGCATATACTCTTGGCCACATTAGTTATGAATTAAGGTCAGATTAATTCAGAAATCTAAGACTAATGACTTTGAACCCTCAGACAGCAAATCAAAGAAAAATTACATTGGGAAGGAGAAAGTGGCTTATCATTATACTCTGGTTTTCTCATTTAGTTTTTAAAGACTACTTCAAAAGATGCAGTTTCTGCAGAAACCAGCCAACGTGACTTAGGGGTCTTCTGTTGGTAGGAATCTAATTCTGGCTTCTTTTTTCGAAAGTGGAGCAGCATACAGGCAAAAAAGGACACATGTTTGAAATCTTTGGTTCTGACATTTTTTAATGATCCCCATCTCACTGTTTATGTCTTTTGTCCTGGGGACTTTAAAATAATTTCCCTCACAGAAATAGAATGCCTTCATTGCTGCTTCTGTTCACTGTTTTTAGTAATTCATTGGTATTTAGGAATTGCGATTTTTACATTGCCTTATTTTAATTTTTTTAAGCCCTTTGATCATCTCTGAAACCTTTGTTTGCTTGGTTCTGGATATTCTTGGAATCAGACTGATTATTGTGATCATGTTCAAAACAGCCTGGTCTAGGAGAGGTAGGCCTTACTTTTTTTTAGCCTAACAGTGTCCCATCTACATGCATATGCTGCTTGGTGCATTTAAAAAAGATTAGAAATGTCTTCAGAATCTCAAAGCCTCAAAGGGAAATGATGGGTACTGTTGGTACACCCAAAAGGGTTACAGAGAGGCCCTGTTAGTCTGGTCATAGTTTGGAATGATCAGAACAAGAAGGCCTCTAAGAGAGTCTCTTTGTTGGCTCCTGTCTTAGTTTTTGTTGACTATCATGCGCTATACTCTGATTTGGGGGGTTAGGGAAGGGGATTAGAGATATAGATGATATCTCTAGTGGTAGATGATAGGGGAGGGAAGAGAGATAGAAAAGTGGCCTGCTGAATTAATAGCCTGCCCGTAAAAGGTGTGTCTATAAGGTCTGATTCAGGTTGGGCCAAGAGGAAATAAAAGATGTTTTTTATATGCCTCTCATGTCATATCTCTGTAGAGTTTGTTTCTTTGGAGAATGTGAGCTATTAACTAAGCCTATTGAAATCTAGCCTCCAAATAAACATTGCTTTTGAGGGCAGGTGAGAAGCTGGAGGGAGTGTGAGGTATATTATGAATATTTAATGGCCACTATTCAACTGTCTCAGAAAAATTGTGACAGCCTGGAAACTGTCTGCCTGTTAAGTGTCTGGAGATGCCAGGACAGGCGTTTGCATTTTTACTTAAAACCAGAGAACTAGAAAGGATCTCAGTAGCTTCCTAGACGGATGGAAACAAAGTGCTGGAATAGGGATTTACTTTCTCAGTACACAGAATAGCTAGTAACAGTCTAAATTATCTGAAAATTTCTTCACTTTTTGCTGTCCCCAGACTCCTCCCACTTTATGTATCTGAAGTGCTTCTTCCTAAAATAGGAGGCATCTCAGACTTCAGGTTAATTTAGGTTAAGCAATATATTTGGGTTTTATAAAGCAGCAGAACTAATAGGATATGTGTGTGCTTGTGTGTATACATGTATAGATTTATAATGAATTTGCTCATGTGATATGGAGGCTAAGAGGTTCCAAGATCTTTCCAGGCTTTCACAATTTTTCTGCGAGACAACTGTGGCATTCTAATTTGATTCCAAACACCTGAGCATAGGTGAGTTGATGGAGTACGTTCTAGTTGAAAAGCCAGATGATTGGAAACCCGAGAAGAGCCGATGTTTTACTTTGAGTTCAAAGGCAGGACAGGGCTGATGAACCAACTCAGGCAGCGAGGCAGGAGGAGCTCCTCCTAGTAGGACTATCAGCCTTTTTGTTCTGTTCAGGCTCTCAGCTGATCGGATGAGGCTCCCCCATATTAGGGAGGGAAATCTGCTTTATTCAGTTACTGATTCAGGTATTAGTCTTATAAAAAATACCCTCATAGACACACTCAGAAATAATGTCTGTCCAGGTATCTTGACATCTCATGGCTGAGTTAGGTTGACACAAATTAACCATCACAAGAAAGAAAAATAGAAATGTTGCACACAGTCGAATGATCCTTATCCCACTTAAATTTTGCCAAATTATGGAAATATCTGTCTTGTTTAGAGACCTTAGTACTAGGGTTAAACGGTAGAAGAAACATTCGTGGGAAGAGGGCCAGTTTGCTGTGTGCATAATAGTTATTTTTTCTCTTCAATTTAAATCCACCTGGAAATCTGAGATACCTCCCATTCTAGGGAGAAACATTGCAGATTCATTGGTCTAACACCACAGCATGTCTGGGGTGAGACATGCAGAGTTTGTTTCTAGGAATGCCTTGCTCTTAAATAGGAGGCAGTGCTGAAGGCAGAGGGCTACATAACCCAGACTTCTCAGGTGTTTCTTTCCTTTGTAACTGGAAGGCTTACAGACTCGGGAACCTGGAGCATAATAGGACTCAAACGACGACAGCTTTCTCTGATTGTCAAAGAGAAGAGAAAACGGTTGCAATTTCAGATCTTGAGCCCTTAGACTTGAGGCTTTTACATTCATATTAAATGTAATATGAGTCCCTGCAGAGCTAAACAGATTGTTTTTTTTATTCACGAATGTCTTTATCTTCCTCTTGTCCGTTATGATCTGAAATAGGAGGGAAGAAAACTACCATGTAAGTCAGAGACATCCTAGAAATTGGTAGACTTGAACATTGAGAGGTTATATAGGGCACTCCTTTCTGGCCTCTAAGGGATGATTGCTTCTCAGGTAGTTTCCAGATGGGTTAGTGTAAGTCATGTTCCTCTGGGTTCATTCTGACTGGGCAGAACTGGGCAGTAGGGTGGGAAGGGCAGAGTGGTACTTTTAGCTGGTATCGCTTCGACATCTTGAAAGTTTCTAAGCTAATGAGTTTGGAGCAGGGAGAAGGAATAATCCTGGTACAAGCATTAATTTTCCTTCAAAGTTCCTATTGTCAGTTCTCTGAAGAGTTGAGAAACTTGCAGAATCCAGAATGACATTTTGTCCCTATTGGTATAGCTCAATTCTTTCCTGAAAGTATTAGTTTCTAAGAAAAAAAGGATTATTCTAGGTGGAGGATATGGAAATGGCTATAAATCAAATAGCTTCCTTAGCTTATTATAAATTGTAGTTGTCAACATTTACTGCATAACAATTGAGCCAAGTACTTGTCAGATATTTCCTTGAGTAGTACTCTTTGGTCCAATAATTAGCTCTCAACTTAGAAGGTTTTTGGGGAACATTTCCCCTCCAACAGGTATCACTTTGATTAAGTGGTTATTAGGAGGAAAAGTATTTGTTTATGTCTTTGTATTCAAATATATGTGTGTGTATGTATATATGTATATATTCACAGAGACACACACACATATACATGCACATTTCACTGTAGAGGAAAGGATGCGCTTGATGGGCACTGAGGTGCAGTGAGCGGGGGCCCGGCAGAGGCCTGAGCCTCACAGCCGGTTGCTCTCACTGCGCACCTTGGCTCCTGTGTTTCTGCCGTTCTGTGTTGGGACACTGTTGGCCTGGCAAGCGCCCTGTTACATGGTGTGGTGAAGGGATTCAGTAGAAGTAAAAGTGTGGTCATTGATGAGTTTAAGAATAAAGGACTTTTGAGAAAAGGGTGTTTATCATCCATTGCTTCTGTATGATATTAAGTTGAACTCAAATATAATTTGTTTTTAAAATTTTTTCTTGATAAATTATTGTTGCCAATTGACTTTCTCTCATGACTTGCGTGCTTCAGTTTCTTTCTCCCTGGTGTCTAGGTGCTGCTTTCTCAAGGAACTAATTAAATATATCAGTCTGACGGGGGAATGAATCTGTGTCTGTTATAAACAATAACAGCAGCGTCTGGGGTTTTGGAGGTGAAGGGCACTTCAGAGTTGGTTGTTAGAGCTGCTCTAGGCAGGCCACTGACATCTGTGAAGACAACAGGTTTTAGGAGGAAAAGGAGGAGGGTGGTAACAGATGATGCTAGAGGGAAACCCTGTTTGACCGCTGATGGAGAGGTGGGAAGACCAGAGTGCTGTTTACAAGAATAAACCAGCGGAGATTTGGGAGTTAGGGGGACCGGCAGGACAGAGTTCTCTTACTGCAAGTTTCCAAAATGAATCTCGCATGAGTTCTGGTGCAGGGAGTTGGGGGGAAGGCTTGATGGGTTAAAAATTCCAGGTGGCTGTCCTGTGGGAGGAAATGGTAGCTTGTAGTAATGTCTGAGTCTCAGCACTCCGGCTGGGCCCCACAGGCCACTCAGGGGTTTAAACTAGAACGGGTAGAGTGCATTGTGTACCGCTGGAGAGGTTTCTCAGGGCCAAAGTAGAGCCCTTCTCTTATCCAAAGGACATTGAGGTTTTCATCTCATACCTGCCAGACAATGGAATTACATGCATCCAACTCTACGATCTTATACATGAGAACTTCGTCTTGCTGATTACACTTAGAAGGGGTCCACGAAGTGGAGTCCACATGTTGCCTTTCCTCTCTCAGCTAGGATACTTCTATCTGTGAATTACGGGATGCAGGCTTGTGGTTCTTCACATTTTCTAATAAGATGTACTATTTTTTAAGGTCCAAACGGTACTAGATTCCTTCCCAATGAGATGAGAGTTGTATCTTCAGTATCTTAGCGAATAAATACATCACAAAAAGCTACTAAGATTTCAGTAATATTTTTAAATCAATTTGTCTTTATTAGTCACACCAGAATCCTCATCCAGTTGAAACACAGTATTGACTTATTTGAAAGATACATTTCAGAACTTCACTTGCCCAAATACACACAGCTGGTATGTTGCAGAGCAGGTCTTTGGACTCCATGCCTAGTTTTTTTACCTTATAAAACAAAATCCAAAATCAGGTAAGGTGTTTCCTTTCGATAGTTGGCTATTTAGTTCCAGTGAAATTGTGTTCGTACCTCTCTATTCATGTAGTTCTTCCTGTCAGGCATATCCTTCCCCCCCTCCCCCCGCCTCCCACCTCCTTGCTTAACTATGACAAGAGGTCATCTGTTTAAAGAGAAAGAGGGTTTGTGAATTTAGGAGAAAAGATGCAAATACTGCTTTGGGCATTTTTATAAAAAGAGAAATGACCGAAGATGTTGGTAAGTACTTCGCTGAAGGTAGACAGTTGTGATCCGTGGCGCATCTGGTCTGCACAAATCTTCGTCCATCAGTGCGGTGTGGATTGCTGTCTACACCAGGTGCTCTCTTCATTTTCTCTATGTTCATGCAGAGTTGAGACACTGGGTCTGGGTCTCTTTCCTCTCCTACCTCTCTTTTGCTTATTTCTTCTTTCTTTCCTTCAGTGGTAAATAACAATTTCTCCCCCCAAAATTGGTGTTCTCACTTGGTTTGACTTGCTTCTTTTACTGTGTTTGGGGGCGCGGGGGGGGGGGCACCGAGGAAAAGTTCTTCTGGGGACACAAACACATGGACTTATCCCGTGTCTGAGTGGGCACTGCCCCAGCCACTGTGAGAGCTGCTCTCTCCCTCACTGTGACTGAGTTGTGAAGAAGGCAGGTTCGCCCTGGAAGTAAGTAGGGGAGGTCAAGGGATCCACTCATTTGTCCCATTTTATATTCCCCAGGTTCTTGGCACGTTCCCCTGTGCCCATGTTGTAATGTGAAAGATTCCAAGGTAAACATATTTATCTTGCTGTGATTTTTAAAAAGATTTCTTCTGGCAGGAAGCTCTTACAGAGCTGTAGAAAGAAAAAGGAAAGTTTATTACTGCCACATGACTTAGAATAGCAACAAAATACCTCATGTAAATTCATCCCCGCTAGGCTTCCTGTGTGTGTGATAGGCGCTCCAGGCTTGAGAGGGAACAGAAAGGGAAAATGGGATGCATGCTGTGTGCTGTGTCTTATTACTGAGGTTGCAGTTGTATCTTTACAAATCTCACATTCTGGTGGAGGTGGGAAGGGGGCTAACCACCAGTCTCTCCGTGCTGGAAGGTAGGACAATCGAAGAAGAAGTAGATGCCACTCAAAGTTCAAGGTAGGTTTTCCATGGAGGGTACTGAATGGTTGGCATGGTGATAGGACAAGGGTACTCCGTGAAGTTAGTCATGAGCTGAAGAAGGTACAGACCTAGGAAACGCCCTCATCCTTGTTGTCATGTGTAAACATGCTAACTTGATCCATATGATTCCCCTAGACCTGAGGAAACACGTACTGTTTTCCTACTGAATGCTGCCTCTTTAATAATTCTGGGAAGTCTTGTTGGAGGGAGAATAAAGAAAAGGAATGAACTATCAAAACTTCATTCTCTTCATCTGACAGGAGAAGGGAAACGAGCTTAGAGATTTTTTACTCTGGCATAATTTGGGACTCGGGTAGTAAGTGTAGTAGATTGAATGGCTAGACTTATTTCCTCCACTTTTTTTAGGGCATTTATTCTGTATGAAGGAGTAAAATTTATTTTACTAACAGTAACCTAATCACCTGAGAGAATTTAGGTTTAAACCTATATAATAAAGAGCTTGCCGAAACCGGTTTGGCTCAGTGGATAGAGCATCGGCCTGCGGACTGAAAGGTCCCAGGTTCGATTCCGGTCAAGGGCATGTACCTGGGTTGCGGGCACATCCCCAGTAGGAGATGTGCAGGAGGCAGCTGATCGATGTTTCTCTCTCATCGATGTCTCTAACTCTCTATCTCTCTCTCCCTTCCTCTCTGTAAAAAAATCAATAAAATATATTAAAAAAAAAAAGAGCTAATATGCTAATTAGACTGGATGGTGGAACGACCTTCCGGAATGACCAGTGGGCAGGGGGGCGGGGGCACGGGCACGAGGCAGCCGGGGCTGTGAGGGCCTACTCTTGCATGAATTTCGTGCACTGGGCCTCTAGTAAAGAATATGTCTACAGGTTCAGACTGCTTAATTTGATTTTCACCAGTTTCTTCTTGAAAACTGGCCTAGGCTTACATTTGGCAGGTCCTCGCCAAGCATCACAGGTAAAGTCATTTTTTCTTTTGATGGTTTGTAGGTAAAGAGTTGGACTAAGGGAGTGTTAGGTCCTGTTTCTAGAAATGTGAGGAGGCAGTCTCAGAACGGGGAGGGAGGTGAAGGAGTTGAGATTGAAGTAGATAATTCCTGAGGGCACAGGGTGTTAGTGAGAAGCACCTGTATTCATTCCTGTGAACTGGGGCAACATTTCACCTCTTTGTACCCATTTTCCTGGTGAGTAATCAGGAATCTTTGCCTCAAAGGGTGGTAGGAGGTTAGAATCATCGTGTAAAGCCTAGCCCATCATGCAGATTCTTCAAACACATTTACTAAGAGCCTACATGTGCAAGACAAAGTCCCAGCATGTAGAGAGCTTACATTCTGGTGACAACCAAGTGGTGGATATTGATTGGTTTGAGGAATGCCTAAATAAAGATGGAATAGAATGCCAAGGACAGACAAAACCCTGCATCTGATTTATGCAAAAACGTAATGGCAAAGCATTGCAAGTTCCAGTCTATTAGGGAAAACCTGATTCCTCTTGATAAAGGGTGCGCAGGGGCTGAGCCAGAAGTGCTGAATATACTCGGTCTGGCATCAGCCTTTGCTGAGGAGCTGCACTGTTCAAACCTCACCTCCGGACCAAGTCTGTCTCTTCCCTTGTTCATTTTCACATAATGGCCTCAGCGTGTAGTCCTCTGTTCCTTACTGAGTACAGGCAGCTGTATTTAATGGCCTCTCCCACAGGCCTTTCCTAACAAGTCTGACCTACCCAAAGGAGAGTCTGATTCACCTGTCTTTCCCTAGTTAGTCCCTTTGGATCAGTTTTGCCCTCATTGGTTCGATGTTTCCCTTCCCCACTCGTCTTCCTTTCCATAACATAGGTGTTTAAGCTTCATCTGAACATACCTTGAAGGACCATCAGGCTGGTGGCCAGCATCACCAAGACCTCTTGCAGGGCGCTTGGACTGAGAGGGCCTTTACTGTGGAGAGGGCCGTTACCATGGCTGGACTCCTGCTGTCCTGTTAGTTTCCCTCCCGTCACTGTGTAGTTCCCTGTCTCTGGTTCAAAAGAGAATCGGGTTCAGGGAATGGTTTCAGAAATCATCAGAACGTCCTTTTGCATCACCTCAGAACTACTTTTGCGGTCTCCAAGTATCAGCATAATTCATTGCCCAGATAAGTTTTTTAAAAAACATTTGTGGGTGATGATGATGATGATGTATTTTAGCAGCAATGAATAAGTATGGAATCCACTGTTTGTCACACTGGGAATGCAAATAAGCCTGCCTTGAAGGAACTTTAAACTCATGCCAGAGAGACAGTTAAAATAGCTTAGTCACCTTGGACTTGGTCTCATCTAAAAGCCATCTGTGGGTGGTGGGTTAAGCAGTTCAGCTTAAGTTAAAATCTGGGCTTTGGGATAGATCTGGATTTTTATCCCCCACTCACTGCTAGCTGAGTGAATTTACACAAATTCCCTGTGAGCCCGAGTTGTCACATGACAAAAATAGTAGCTTTCTCAAAAGATCATGAAGATTAAATGAAGTATCACTTAGCACAGTGCCCGGCACAGTAAGCACTCAATGGTAGACATTGTTTATTGATACTGTTACCTGTCTGGCCTCATTCATCTTCCAAAAGGAACCTTATTTCCATACTTGGTGAGTATCCACATGTGCCGACTGTGGTACTTCTGTATTAGAACATGGATGCTAGGTTACAAGGAACAATGACTTTGTTGTACCCTCATTCTGTTCTCTAAGGCTTGTGCCTGGGATGTTCAATACTTACTTGTTCAATGAATGAAAGGAGGTTCCACTAGTGAGTGAAGTTAACTGGAACAGTACTAAATAGTAGTGTCAGGTTAAAGTAACTTAGGTTTTGTATCATAGACAATAAAAGCCATTAAAACCGGATGGTGGTGCATCATGTACAAACTAGAGGTCCAGTACACAAAATTCAGGCGGGATGGGGAGTCCCTCAGCCTGGCCTGTGCCCTCTCGCAGTCTGGGAGCCCTCAGGGGATGTCGGACTGCGTGTAGGCGGGAGAGGCTTCCCCCACCACCGCTGCGCTCGCCAGCCGAGAGCCTGGCTTCTGGCTGAGCGGCACTCCCCCTGTGGGAGCTCACTGACCACCAGGGGGCAGCTCCTATGTTGAGTGTCTGCCCCATGGTGGTCAGTGCACATCATAGCAAGCGGTTGAGTGGCCTTAGCATATCATTAGCATATTACGTTTTGATTGGTTGAACAGCCGACCAGACAACCGGACATTAGCATATTAGGCTTTTATTATATAGGATTAGCATTTTAGATGGCGGGTGGCAGTGTGGATTGGAGGCAGAGACCATATTTTAGAGTTGATGGGCCATTTATTAGGCAACAGCTCAGTGCCAGGCCCTGCAGTTGCTGTGGGAAATAAAGATGAGTAAGACAGTTGGATCTCAAGGGGCTCACCAGTTAGAGGCTATTGGGATGTTTTAAGTGAGATGATGACCTGAGAACACCGAAAAGAAAGGAATGAATGTGGGAAAGAACCAGTAGTACTTAGTAACTGGATGGGGGAAGGGAAAAAGGAGGGACCAAGGTTTAGACTAAAGTGTGGACAGAAGTACAGTCTCAGGAGAACGGGTTTGAGTCTGAGGAGATGGTAGGGCATTCAGGAGCTGGAATCCAGTTGTTGGTGGAAATGTTTAACTGAAACTTAGGGAAGAGTTGAGAGCTGGAGAAGTTGATTTGTGGGTCAGCTGCAGGGAGGGACAGGTTTAAATCAAGAGGGTGGATGAGAACTTGGGGGAGAGAAAGTGAAAAGATGGAGGGGGAATGAGGAGTCTTGGGGAAGGAATTCCCTTGTTTGAGAGGAGGAAATACAAGCATTGAAGGAGAGCACAGACGTCAGAAAGGTAGAAAAAACCAGGGGAGCACAGCCACAGAAGTCAATGGAGACGGGAGTTGATCAAGGAGAATGGACGTGCTGAGTGCTGTAGCGCGGGCTAAGGAAGACATACCGGGAAGCAAGGAAGGGAAATACAACTCAACCGAGACTGAAGTAGAAGATTTGGATTGACTGCTAGCCACAGGAGAGGATGAAAACATTTGTTAAAAGGCTCTGGGCCAGGTTTCTATTTTGGGGGTGTGTGTGTGATTTATACCTAGTTTTCTTAAAGTTAAGTAATTCTTTGAAAGTTCATAAAGAATAATAGCAGTGCCCTGTTATCCTCCTCAGGCCTATTCCCCAGAGACCATCACTCTCAATTCTTTGACATGTTTCACCATATTTCTAAAGAATATGCTCATGTTACCACTTTTTGATGATAAAGTTTAGATATTACCTATTGACTTTTATTGAAGATGAGGATTTCAACCTGTCACAGGCCTCCTGAGAGCTGATCTATCAATTCTATTTCTGTCCTATAAAGTTTTCTTCTGGAGCCCTCTTTCCCTTGCTCTCTGCGGGACTAATTGTTCTTTTTGGGCCCTTTTCTTCTAGAATTTCCTTATCCTCGTTTCTGTTAGGTTCCTTGTTTCCGGGATCCCGTTTTACCCACTCTACCGTTCACTTTCTAGTTCTCCTGAAGCACATTCTCTGGTAGCTTCTTAATAACGATCACATAGGAGACAAGTTTTGAGTCATTGCTTGTGTGACGGCGTCTATTCCTTCCTCACGTTTAATTGGTGGCTTGGTTGGGCACAGAATTCTAGGCAGAATAGAATTTTCTCTCTGGAAGGCTTGCCCCTTTGGGCATGTAGGGACGGAGTCGCTCTGCTGGGCAGATGAGGAAGCTGTAGGTACAGCTGAGGCTGGAGTGGTCCTATTCAACCTGTGCCAAAGTAGTAACAGCAGGGAGCAGAGTGGAGGCGATCTGTAGGGATGCAAGGCTTTGCTGCCCCAGTGAGATAGAGGCAGGGACTCGGCTTCTGCTGGCTTTCTGGTTTCTGGAAATGATCTCATGCAGGCCGGCTATACTTCTTGCTTTATTGTCTCCCCATCGACACCGCCCTCTAATCTATTGCAGCTTGAATGGGTTTCTGTTTCTTACAACTAAATGGTCTTTAAGACAACCATCCATTTTATCTCAAATCTCTGTCCCAGCCTGAAGGCTCAGTGCCTGTGTTTAGAAACACAGAGAGCTCCGTTGTTAGACCTCCCATTGTAGACCTCCGTCTGCATTTACTGGCCCTGGTCAGTGAGGGGCATCGGACAAGTGCTTTTACCTACTCGGGACTCAGTCAGTGTCAATAAAAATGGGATGGCTACCTCGGTAAGCTTTCTTGAAATTGAAGACAAAGTAAGATTACCTTCTTAGGAAAGCGGCATTGGTCAGTGGGGGAGAGGGAAAAGGATTGTAACGGGAAGGACTTCCTCAAGGAGGCTGCCTGGTCAGGACCCGAAATACCTACTGTCCCCAGCTGTTGACTCTGCGGGGGTCCCGCCTGTGGTATTAGGGATGTTAGGAGCTCACCTGTGACTGAAACGGAGAGAAAATGACCTTGAAGGAGGATTTCTGGCGCCTGGCTTTTGGCACAACACTGGTAGGTCCCACTGGCCAATGGTGTGGCTTCGGTTAGGGTGACCTCCAACTGAGATGATCTCTCACTGGCACCATCCATCTCAGGCGAGCGTCTCAGCCTCAGGTGCTTCAAGCTGGTCTCAGGGGAACAGTCCGAAGGCCTGTCCTTGCACAGAAACACGATGGCCCCCTCAGCCTCTTCGTTCGTATGCCTCAAGGTACAGATTAAGCTTAGTCGCTTTCCTTCCTGGGAAGCTGAGCTGAGGAGGCGCATGCATCCTAAAATGGGAAGGGAAGAATTAGCCGTGGGAGTACATGGCAAATGAAATTCACTTTATTTCTAAATGTTGAGGCAGAGAGGGGGGCTGCCCCAGGACATTAAATGCCACCCTCTTAGAGGAGTTGTCCATGAGTTACACCCATGTCTGATGGAGACCTGCAATCCCAGCTCCTCATTTATTGAATGGTTTGCGTTTGATTTTTACTGTCCACCTGGAACCTATAGGCCTTTAACTTAAAGTGCTTTGTTAATGTACCTCATCCTTGATATAGCCCTAGAGGCGGTGTTTTTTCCCATTTTACAGATGAACAAATACGAAGCACAGAGTGGTTAAATGGGTTTTCGGAGTTGGCAAATGTGGTACCTGGATTTCATGAATTTAGAGTTTATGAGCCTGTAGGAATTTCGGAGGGAGGGCCCGTTTACCAGGCTCCTTGCAACACACAGCACAGACGCGATGTCTGATGGGTGCACGACAGGGTTCTAACAAAGAAAAGGAAACTACGCCTGCCACCCTTGCATTAGCATCAAGAAGAGCGGGTCCCTTCTTCCTCACTAGGGAAAAAACATGGGGTCCATCCCCCTCAGGAGCCCAGGATTCTCCCTGGTGGCTGCTCTGCTCTGGGGCTTGGGGATGGGCTGTCCTCACCGCCAAGCTCGATGTCCACAATTGCCAGCAGAGTGGCCAGGGCCCAGCAGCCTCTGCCAGAGGCCATCGGCGTCCTGCAGGTTGTCAGCAGCTCAGGAACTCGAAGCAGGTGGCTCTGCTGATGTCCTTGGCCTCGCTCTCCTGGAAGCACAGAGGGAGCCCTGACGAGGCCGCGGCAGCTCCACAGCCACTCCCTGGTTGAGGCCCTGGCTTCTGTCGGCGCGACTCTGAGGGAGGTGGAGGGGTGGTGGAGGAGAGAGACACGAAAAGCTGTATTTTCAGATTTTTTTAAGTTAAATTGGATTTCTGGGTCAAAGAATATGAACATTAAAATGTCTATATATTATCAAATTCCTCTCTAAAAAGTAGTTGAGATTCAGATGTTCAACAACAATATTTGAAAATCTACATTTCTTTATGTGCTGGCCAGCACTGGATGTTATATCTTTTACATTTTGCCAATGTGAGGGATGAAAAACTAGGTTTTATTTGGCATTCCCATGACTGGTGAGGGTGAAGATCTCATCAGATGTTTATTGGTCATTTGCAGGACGCCACCCATTGTCTTCACTAGCAGAGAAGTGCAAACAAGGATCCCAGAAGGCTGGTGACCCTTGTAACCACGGCAGGGCCTGAGTTATGCACCGATTGTCTAGTCCTGACAATGGGAGCTCAAGCTATTTCCTGATCAAATAGTCTCAGAGTAAATCCTTCTAGTATTTACTGACCTTTATGATAGCCTGTCTGCTACTGCTATTACCTGCCTGACTAAGGGCTTTATGTTTAACCAAAGCTGAATAAAAGGCTGGCAACGCCTGGGCACCAGTGGAGGTCCTTCCCCTTGAGTTGGACTTACGCACCTGGCCCCCCCCAATATTTCCAAATTATCTCTTGTCTCTTCTCCTTCATTTGTGTGCGGCTCCTCTTCCAGATCCTGAACCCTAAACCACGCGGGACGTGGTGGGTACACACATACAACAGTCATTGATATTTGCTTCTGTATTAATTGCTTGTTCATAGGATTAGCATTTTTTAAACTCAACTTTTTAAAAAATATATATTTTATTGATTTTTTACAGAGAGGAAGGGAGAGGGATAGAGAGTTAGAAACATCAATGAGAGAGAAACATCACCTGGGACCCTTCAGTCCGCAGGCTGACGCTCTATCCACTGAGCCAAACCGGTTAGGGCTAAACTCAACTTTTAGAAATTTTCTCTGTTTTAGGGATATTAACCTGTCTGCCATTTTAAAATTTAATTTAATTTTTAATATATTTTTATTGATTTCAGAGAGGAAGGGAGAAGGAGAGGGAGAGAGAGAAACACCAATTATGAGAGAATTATTGATTGGCTGCCTCCTACATGCCCCACACTGAGGGTTGAGCCCACAACCTGGGCATGTGCCATGACCTGAACCATAACTCCTGGTTCATCAGTTGACCATTTTTTTAAACAAATATTTCCTCACAATGTGTTGTCTCTTGACTTTTTATTTCATAGGAAAAATTTACATTTGTGTCTTTTTAAAAAAAAAATCATTTATGTTTTTGGTGTTAGTTTCCCTCAGGCTCAGATTATAATTTTCTTCATATATATTTACATATATAAAATATTTTAAAATATTGATTTTTGAAGGGAGAGGGATAGAGAAAAAGAAACATCAATCGGCTGTTCTTACACACACACACACACACACACACACACACACACACACGGACAGCCCACAACCTGGGCATGTGCCCTGAAGGGGAATTGAACCATAAACTTTTGGCTCAAGCATCTGAGCCACACCGGCCAGGGCTCTTCCAATATTTTTATTGTTTTACCTTTTATGTTTATGTCTTCTAATCCTAGCTAAGAAAATTTTATCGCCATATCAAGACAAACCCAAACTGAACAAAAAACCAAGACCAAGAAAATACCTGAATTTTCATCAGTAGCGAAATGACTGAATACATTTTGACTCATCCATATAGTAGAATATTATTTAAAAACTAGAGGCTTGAAATTCGTGCATGGGGAGGGGGTGTCCCTCAGCCCAGCCTGCACCCTCTCCAATCCGGGACCCCTCGGGGAATGTCCGACTGCCAGTTTAGGCCCAGCAGTCGGACATCCCTCTCGCAAACTGGGACCACTGGCTCCTAACCGCTCACCTGCCTGCCTGCCTGATCGCCCTAACTGCTCTCCCCTGCCAGCCTGATCCCCCTAACTACTCTCTGCTGCTGGCCTGATCGCCTTAACTGCTCTCCCCTGCCCGCCTGGTCCCCCTAACTGCTCTCCCCTGCTGGCCTGATCCTCCTAACTGCTCTCCCCTGCCAGTCTGATCACCCCTAACTGCCTCTGCCTCGGCCCCGCCACAGTGGCTTTGTCCAGAAGGATGTCCGGACGGTCGTCCTGAAGATGTCTGGTCTAATTAGCATATTACCCTTTTATTAGTATAGATGAGTTCTATTTTTTTTATGGACCTGAAAGGATGGGTGTCCATAATATACCATTATGTCAAAAAAGACATTTCAGAGCTATGTATATATAAAAAAAATACATTTTTATTTAAAAAAATCCTCTGTAGATGTTTTAAAAATATATTTAAATACTTTTATAGTGTATAACTTTTTGACTAGATAATTACATTCACAGGGTTCAAGTTTCAGAGACGGGTATGCAGTTAAAAGTTTCCTTGCAGCTCGCACGCCCCAGTGACCCTTCCCCACAGCCATCCAGTTGCCTGACTCTGTGGCTCCATCTAGAGATATCCTGTGCATATGTAAACAGTTCCCGATGTCCCCCGTTTAAAAAACCAACAAGGAAGAATGATGGCATACAATACACTCTGTCCTACAGTTTGCTCTTTTCGCTTGCCAATATTTTCTGGAGACCATTCCATATCAGCATGTGAAAATTGCTGCACAGTATTCTTAAATATGCAAATTTATTGATATAGATTCTTGTTAGTGAGCATTTTGGTTATTTCCAATCTCTTACAAACCCTACTGCAGTGAGTAACCATGCACATCCATCACTTTGCAAATGATGAATCTCTGGAAGTGGCATTGCTTGCCCGAGGGCATGTGCATTTGCTGTGTTGAGTGATGCTGCCATGTTGTCCTCCGGGGGTTGCATTGCAATGCCTCCCCACCAGCAGCCCGGAAAGTGGGTCCTGCGGGTGTCCATAGATTGATTTGCAGGAGTGCTTATAGATTCAAAAATTAGTCCTTCGTGATGGGAGGGAGAAATACTTTTCTAGTTTGTCATTTGTTTTTTCTATGGTGGTTTTGTTTTGCGGGGAAAAAAAATTTTTTTTTTCTTATCATTAAACTTATCACTCTGTTCTTTTACTTTGATGGCTTTCAGGTTTTGTGACTTGCTGTACAGGCCTTCTCTCCCCAAATTGAAAATCCTCTCCCATGGTTTCTTCCAGTCCTCTTATTTCTTCATATCTTACGTTAACACTTTTGGTCTTTATGGGATTTATTTTGGTGGAAAGTATGAGGTACAGACCTAATGTAAATTTTTTCAAGCTAACCACCAGTGATTCCAGTACCTTTATTTGAGTAAAACTTATTTTCGTCATTCACTTGAGATACGTTGTCATATACACTTGTGTGTGCATGCCTATTTCTTTACATTTATTGTGTTTGTATACATGCCTGACAAATGTTAGTAGATTTATATTTTAATTCTTAGAAAATAATGTATAGACTTGATAATATTTTATTTTAAAATGTTTAATCACTTTTTGTAGATTTAGAATGGTTGCCACCCCAAAATACGTCCCTTTGGAACATTGATGATTTTAGGCTGGTTAAGTTTAAGAAAGGGCAAACCTGGAAGAAGCTCTGAAAACCAAGTAGAAGTTGCCGTCTGGCAAAGGGCATTTCTATTTCTAAGGGAGATCTCCATTTGTAAAGGCGTCTCCCTCACTGTGCCAGGCCTCCCTTCACTGTCTGTGGAGAAGGCTTGCACTTAAATTTGCAAACAATCTAAACCTTGTTTACTGTGCTTTTCCATATCGGACTCTAACCCAACATCATCTTCTGTCTTCAGCTGACGGTGGTATTAAAGGTGCTGGCTTCCACCACTTGGGGGAGTTACTGTGTTCCTGGGCCTATTCCACGTATACAGGAGTCGAGCCTATCACTAAACTTTAATTTGTTTTTCCCCTGCTAATCTGTCTTGTGTTCATTTGGTTATTAGACCACCAGCCAGAAGAACCGTGAAGGGTAGAGGATGAAATTTCCTCCTTGACAGTTGTATATAGGGTAGGGCAAAAGTAGGTTTACAGTCCTGAGTACACAAAACAGTTTATTGTTGTTACTTATTAATTATTGTATTATTTTCCATATGAACAACTGTAAGCCTACTTTTGCCCCATCCTGTATATTTACAGATCACAGAGGATAAGAGTATAACGGTACATAGCAAATTGTTTATATTTTTATCCTCAAAGGTGTGTTGTGAGGGAAGTATGAAAACCTATTAATTTTCATTAGACCATTTTAAGTTATTTGACTTGCTAAGATGAGCTTGTAATACTTTGATAATTAAAAATTGAATACAGAATATATACGTGTGTGTATGTATATACATCTGTACCTACTTATCTTCCTGTCTGTCTACACACACAACACATTTGGAAATGTCAAAATGTAAGATATTCACCTTGAGAATGGTGTGGGGAGTGTAGGGACCAAAGGGACTTTCGGTATGTGTTTTATATACTACATATTTTTAAAATGAAAGTTTTAAGAAAAAAAACCTAGTCAAACTAATCTGAGGTTAAAATTTAAAATGTGTCTGTGGGATTAACAAAAAGGACAGAACTGAAATGCTGGCTCTTCTCTGGGACATTGTCATGGGGTGTAAAGACCTCCAGGGAGCCCCAGGGATGATTTGAATTATCAGGCCGAATTGAAGGTAAAAAATCCATTCGTGAATCAAGTGGTTTCAATTTCTTTGCTTTTAACAAATTGAAGAGATGGCTAATGGAATTGTTAGCCAGGGATAGACTGGAACCCCCCCTCCCCCCCATGTCCATTTCCCCTCTGCCTCCCTTTTTAAGAAACCCTCCTGCCCACCTCCACTGTGTTTTAGCAGAGAACCTGCCTGCCTGCCAGAGACATTTCCCAGCCTCCTTTATAATGAGGGGTTCCTATGTGGCTAAGTTCTTGTCCATGCAAATTCAAGTAAAAGGAAGTGGTACTGATATCATGTAATTAACCTAGTTATTAGCAAAAAAAGTCAGTATTCTGATCAAATTTTATATTCATCCCCACTAAAATCCCAAGTGAAATGGTAATGTGTGAACATTAGTCAACATAATAGAGAAGTAGATATCTCAAAATTCTAGCATCATTTAATGATAAAATATAAGGTCATTTCTATTAATACAAGGAGCCAGGTAAAGATGCTTCCAACTACCTCTGTTATTTCACAGTGCTCTGGAAATGTTAGTCATTGCATTTAGACAAGAGGGTAAAGGGAGGGAGATAAATGTTGGAACTCTTGAGGCAAAATTACTATTACTTATATATGATATAACTTACACCTGGAAAACCCAAGCGAATTAAGAATATTAGAAATGAAA